TCCCTTTTGGGTTGACCTTTGCCCACGAGGGGATGGGTAACTTCAGGTGTTTGATTTAGAAGTTATATTCTTTGTGTTCGTATTGTATATTCACTGTATTAAAAACCCTTTTCATTAAAGTTTTATATGTTTTGTCTTGTTGCGGCAGATGGCAGAACCTACTTAGAGCAGGCAGGTTTTTGGGGCTTCAGGGGTTCCTCTCTCTCTCCCCTGTCCTCTAACAACCCAAGTCCTTGTTCTTAATCATATGCCATCCATAACACCTTCTGTGACTATTTTATATCTCTGCAGGACCTGGATCCAACCCTTATTCCAATGCTTTTTTAAGCATGACCTCAAGATTCTACCTCCCTGCTTCCTGAATAGCAACTGAGCTTCTTGGCGCTGACGAATTACGTCAAGGGCTGGAGGTAGGTGGGTTCAGGTTCTTTGCCTTCCTTTCCTCCTCTGCCTAGCTGTTTCCCAAAACCCTGCCTATTCTTTCCCTGATGATTTACCATCTCTTGAGGCATCAATGTGTATACTCCAGATTACCTTTACTCTCCTGGGAGAGTTCTTAACTTACCAATCCCTTCTATCACCTTTCAAATATGACTGATGCCATTCTTGTGTGGTTTAAGTAGCATTAATCATTTACTGAGTACTTACTTACCACTGCTCCTAAACAACTCAGTGAAATAGGTGCCAATTTTTCTTGATTTTTAAAAGATTTATTGATTTATTTATGCATAGAAGAACTGGGGTATAGGCCAATGGTGCAGAAAGAAGGGTGAAATTTTTACCAGAGACAGCGTGAGGAGCAAAACTGGCAGATCTATTGAAATATGCTGTTAAGGGGAGCAGTGGGCAAGAAGGGAGAGATCTGCTGCGCTGCCTATGTGGGACAGCTCCCATAGCTCTATGGCCAGGGGTGGAACTCAGGCTTTGGTGGTGGTAGCAAAGAGAATTAACCCCCTACACCACCAGGGAGACCCCAGATGGCAATTTTTATACCTGCTTTACAGATGAGAAAATTGCGATGGGGAAAGAATAATTTGTCAGAGACCACATAGACCTAGAAAATGGAGAGCCAAGATTTGGAACTGAGACATGTTGGGTGTGGAGACCACTTAACCAGACCACTTCCCGCCATTTTTAGGGCAATCCAATATTTTCTGGGCACTGACTAGACTGCTGGCACTAAGTCTAATTGTTTAATAACTCATTTCTTAGTATAGACTTGAAAAACATATTTACATTCCTCACCTAAAAATGGCAACATGAACACCGTTGATCCCTTTGGCAGGAGTAGTTTTAAATAAAGACATTAACAAGAACAACCCACTGGACTTAAAAGTAGAAATGCCCACACCCCAATGGAACTGGAGCTGACATATTTAGACCTGTGCCCCTTCCTCACTACCCAGTCATAAGTCATCTCCCAACTGGTTATCTTATCCTTAGAAAGGAACATCTCTCATTCCCTCCTATCACCTTCCAGTTCAACAAAAGCATCCCTATCTTCCCCTTCCACTGAAGTGAATTTTCTGGAATATCCTGACCCCAGGGGCACATTAGACAAATTCAGCACATTTGAGAGAATTCAACCTCTATTAGTCCCTTCAAACAGCTGCCAGTAGGGGACTAAGTTAAGCACACACTTTAGCCTTTTTTCTAAGAGAGAGAGTGACCTTTCTCTTCTGTGTTGTGTGTGGTTCCTCAACTGCCCTTTATTGTCCATGTAAATGCCCCCAGTACCTTACGTGTCCCATTCAAAGGTGAACCTAATTTGTAAAAATTGTTCTTTGAAATCCAGGAATAAGCTTCTGGTTATTTTCAGAGAAATACAGAGGTAGGAGTCTGGAAACAGCTAAAAAGGAGCTTAAAATACTTCACATTCCAGAAGCACCCTCCCTTCCCCCCAGCCGTAGTTATATCCCCACTCCTTTCTCAATGGAGTCTGACTCCAAGGAGCTGAAGTCTGGACACAGGCAGCTGTCCTAGCTGCTTAGACAAATGACTTCAATGTCTGTGCTTCAATTTGCTCATCTGTAAAATGGGGTGACATTACCCTATCCTCCAGGTTATTGTGAGAATTAAAATATGTAGCAAACCTACATTACTGCCTGCACCAGCTGTGCCTACTAGTTTATTAAGCTTCTTTGAGTTCTTGCAAGGGTGAGCAGTCCTATAAATTACTCACAACAAATGACCTCGAAAGAGGATGAATACTGGGGACAGATTGACTCTAAGTGAGAAACTACGTTTTTAAGGAAGTGTCCCAGTAATGCAAGTCTGTTTTATCAAACAACTACTTATGAAATGAGTTGGGTGACTCAGGAACAATGGGTTTTTTTTATCTAACAGGAAGCTGGATTTTGCTACCTGACCCTGAACAAGAAAACTTCCCTGTGCGCTAGTACCAGACACTGCTTACTAGGTTGCGTTGGGGGTTACTTTGTAAATATGAGGAATTTATAGTAGCTTTTTAAACCCCTTTCAGGCTCCACAGCTGGCAGGCAGGCCACACTGACCCAGGATTCAGCCCCAAGGCAAGATTAGCTATGGGAGAGCCTTACCCCCCTACGATGCTCACAGCTTCTCCAAACAACCGCTTTCCTTTCTGTCCCAGAAGGGGTCTCTTTGAGACAAGACTAACCCATCTGGACCACAAATGCAGCAGAGTGGCTAGTCATTGAACATTTGTTCCATTTCACCCCAATAAGTGACGAGCACAGTGGTCCAAAGAGACAATTCCCACAAGCAGCTAAGTGATTTAGAATCCCATGTTTCCCTCCTCCACAACACAACAAGCTGATCATGGTTTTGCCCTGGTTGACACCTCAGGCTCCAGAGACAGGTAAGTCCCAACTCCTTTATTTACTAATGTGATGTCCCTGGGCAGTTTTATTTCTCTCTTACCACCTCAGTTTCCTCTTCTGTAGCCTTTGCAGGTCTCAGTGTTTGTCAACATGCAGGATGAAGCAGAGCACTTACCCATAGCAATGCTCTATCAGAAAGTTATTGAATTCTCTCTTTTTCATGTATTGCAAGTTTGTAAGAACTATGGGAGAAAAGGGAGCCTTCATTTGCTTTCATTAATGAGGAGAGAAATAAAAAAATTACGTAAGTTCTCAAAGACTATTTTTAAAGCTCTTCTGGCAAAGGTTACCATGTCACTAAGAACAGTACTGTAACCTTAAAAAATGTTTAAGTAAAACTTTATAATGTAGAAAGTGGTTTGAAGCCTGCTAATCCATTTAGGAGACCCTTTGTGAAATAATACTTCTCCCCATTTTATGGATAAGGAAGCCTGGGCTCAGAAAGGTAAAGCTAAAAGTCAGGGAACAGGAAATGGCAGAATCAGGATTTCAAGCCTTCTGAAGTACAAATTCAGCACTTTTTGCAATTCACAAGAGAATTTCACTAACCAAGTGCTGAGCCTACATTGTTTAGACATGCCTGAAATGGCATTTCAGGAACCCAAAGTGGAATGACCTGGTTAGCAACCTGGTTAGAGAAGCAACCCTCTGCATCTGAATCGCTGGGGCTTCCCTGTAATAGTTGTCTTTGGTTTGGGGTACTTGGTTGGCATAAGTTGTCCCTACTCTGAGATGTTTGAGAAATCTTTTATTAGAAGATGTCCCAGAAGGCAACATTTAAAATCAGGCAATCCATAGTCACAACTAAATACAAAATTTTAGGTAAACTTGCCTTTCAAAATAAATCAGACTCTTCCAATAGGAGAATTGCCCAAGAGTTTTTTTTTTTCCTTGTACAAAAACAATTAACACCACTTTGCAAAAGGCATACAAAAATACAGTATAAAAAAAAAAAAAACCAAAAAGACTGCTCCCAGCATAATACCCAACAGCTTATAAAACACAAGCTATTCAGGTGAGACATCGGTAGCCTGTATCCACCTGTTCTCCAAGACAGTTCCAGAAGCTAGTTGGCTCCCGAAAACCATGCTCCGGCAGGTAGAGAGGCTCTTTCCAAATCTATGCTGAAGTTCTCTAAGCCCAGGAAGCAACCACAGACGCAGCCCATCATGGACAGCAGGTCTGTAAGTGGCAGCTGGTTTTCCGGACCTACACAGAGCTCTACCACCCCCCACCCCCACCTTCAAACTCACAGCCAGCAGGCACCTGCTGCCCTGGACAGAGTTCTAAAGGGGCTGATCCTTCTGCTAGGCCAGGCTTATGGCTACTGAGGCTGCCCACACGACACCTGTTAGGAAGGGTGCCTTTCCCAGACTGGAGGCTGCACCTGGATTCCACTTGGAGGTGCCAGGTCCACTAAGCAGAGCACCTTTAGAACCCACCAGGAAGCTAGTCCAATTTCTGAAGCACTGGATAAGTACCATCAGCTCTCCCAGTAAGAACTTCAGTGAGGCCCAGATTCTGGGAAAGGGAGCTGATTCATGTCAGGCTGGCAGGGGGCCCAAGGGTGCTGCAGAACCAGCAAGCTCCCTGGAGTTACACAAGGACAGGTTTTACATGGTTCTGGTAGAATTTCAACTGTGTCAGGCAGAGATGAAGATGACAGGAAGGTGGAAAGAGGAAGTAGCAGAGTTCTTCCCTCCTGCGTGGCCTGAGACCTGCCTTAGGATTCCAAAATGGGCTCCTAGGAAGGGAGCTAGTTACCCAACAAGACTCTCAGTCTTCCTAGTCTCCCTGTGTCATGGGGGAATATCTCTGACCAGCGGGAAAGGGGTACTCTGGAACCCACTGCATTACACAGGCAGAGAAAACAAAAAAGCCCCTATGTGGACAGAATGGTCTCTCTTGGAAGAAAGCTTCTGGAGGGATCTGAGACAAAGAAGCTAGAGGCCAAGCTCTTAAATGCTCCCAAGGTTGCAGCACTAGAATGGGAAGAGGGGTGTCATCTAACATCATAATATATATATTAAAGGTTTCCAACTCCTCAGCTACTGTAAAGTGTCTGACAGTGAGGTAATGGTCCACGTTCATCAAGTCTGTGAGCTTGTCTTCAACCAAGACAGCTCATATGTCTCCTGAAAAAAGGAGCCTCTGAGAGAGCATCCAGGCCCAGCTGTCCTAGCATCACCCCAGAGACACCAGGGGGAGCATCCTTTCCCAGCCTAAGCTCATCAGGAGTGTGAGATTTCATGCAAGCTGGAGCCCCCAACAACAACGTCCACCACCTGTTGCATAGCATCTGTCAGGCTTTTCTTCAGAGCTAGTGAGCTAGGCAGCCCCCAAGGCTCCTCAGTCAGCTGCCTGCCCGAGAAGCCAGAGGCGCCAGAGAAGACACAGCGCTCCCGTGAGTCAGGGATGAGGCAGAGCTGGGTTTCAGGGTTTCCAAGAATGCAAAAGCCCTTATTGTGTGTGCACTGGCTGCAATGCATTCTGGGATCTACTGTCCAGACTGTCCCACCATAACCAAAATGTGCAAATTACTAAGGGGGAGAGGAAAGGTGAAAAAATAAAGTTGGGTCTTTGTAAGACAGAGCAGTCAGGCTTTTGGTCAGTTAGTAGCCACTTAGGTATGCAATTCTTTTCTGTAGTTGCTGCTGCCGGCATCGAAGCTGCCTTTTCTCTGTGGCCATCCTCTTCTCGGCCCCCACCAGGGCTTGCAAGTATTCCAAGGCCTTGCTCAGGATCACTACTTTGGGGGCCTTGGAGCAGCTGGCCAGCGTGGGTACCTGGTCCCTGAGGGCCAAGAACCGAGAGCGGAGGTCATTCCGCCTTTTGCGCTCCAGGAAGTTGTGATTCTTCCTCTTGGTAACATCCTCAGTGTCAGAACTGACAGGTTTGGGGTGGCAGGACTGGGGAGCTTCGATTTCTACAGGTGGGGGGCTCACTATCTCTTCATCCGCCTCATCTTCCTTTTCCTCTGGAGCACCTTGCTCCAGAGCCTCTTCTTGGGAATCTTTCTCAGGAGCTCCAACTTGGGAGCAGCTTTCTGGGGGGAAACGGGCAGCGTAGTTGTGCTGTTGCTGATGGATGGAGATGTGGAAGTGTTTCATGCAGGGGTCCAGAGGGTCTGCTCTCACTGTGATGGTGACCGGCTTCCGGACACCCAGGGACTGTCTCTTCTCCACTGTCACAACGTCAATTTCTTCCCCCTCTGTCCAAGAGATGGAGAGAAGAAACACACACCATGAGACGCACGTACATAGATCCTCTGCCAGGGCTTGGGAAAGGTGACATTTTCCCGATTTAGATAAAAATAAATTGAAAGAGGGGTAAGACAGTGGATTCATTTATAATGGGCTAAGAGCAGTGTGAAGGAAAGGAGGGGAAATAAGCAAGAAGGAAAATACTCTCCAATTTCCTTTTGCACAGCAAGGCTTAGATAAGAACAAAAGGCAGACCCAAGCCAACAGCCCCCAGTCTGCACAGATTCTCCCCTCCCCCACTGAGGGGATGGAGAAAAAGAGCTATGGCCTGGGACAAAGTTTAGCTATAAAGATCTTCCCCAGTCGGGCTCTTTCATGCCCCATCAGAATTGTAAATGAGGGGTCTGTGGGCAGAGCTGCCCTTTGTTCCTGCCCAGCACAGCCTGCACTTGGGGAATTGTTACTTTTCACAAGTTATAAATCCTATTATTCCCCCACCTCTCTATTCCACTATCCCTTTCAGCTGAAGGTTCAGAAGAGGGAGGGCTACAACTCATCCCTTCTCACCCAAAGGGGAGGGCCTGGGTATCCCTTAGGAGCATTTTGCTCCTGGGTTCAATAGGTTTCTAAAGTCATCTGTCAGTTATAGGTCGCCTGCCCCACCCCCTTTCCTGGACCAGAAGGTTGAATTGGTATTCGCAGGTCAGCAGGAACTTCACAAAGGATATCGACCATGGCCAAGCTACCTGTGCTGGGGCAGGAGCTGAGCAATGGGAGGTCAGATTCACCGACCAAAACACCAAGGACCTGGAGACACCTGGACATACCCTCGTTATCCCTGGCTTAGAGGTCTCTTAAGTTATCCCAACCAGGAATGGGGCAATTAGGGGGAAAATCTTCCTGCTTCACACATTTCGCCGGCCCCACGGAGAAGGCCATCTTCATACATTTCAGCCTGACAACAGAAGAGCTCAGTTCTCGGCCTCGTTTGCATATCAGGATGCTTGAGACCCTTTGTCAGTAAGGCTTCCATTGTGTGGACAATCGCATTATTTCTCCATTAATAAAACCTGACCATTCAGCCCTCCCGGCCTCAATGACTGTGATTGGCTGGCTAAGCACTGTTTGGAATGCAGCTTCACCCGGCCCCTAGCCCGGATTGGCTGAGGTTTACCGTCAGTCACTCTCTCCACCCCCCTCATTGTTTGCAATCTGTTGCATTTTGTTCTGGGCCATGTGGCCTGTGAGTGAACCAGGAGCTAGCAAACAGGTTCAGGTTAGACAGTAGGTCAGAAAATGACTCAATATGCTTACTCACGTCCCAAACCTTTAATATTTCAATGTTTAACATTGACTGGGAGAGCTCTGCCTAAAGAAATAATGGAAGCCACTATTCTCAGTTTCAAAGAGAGTCTCAAACTACCCAGACAAGGGAATGTCTTTAGTTTTCCAATCAAGTCCAACCCTCTCACGTGCAAAGAGAAACAGACCCAGATCATCCAAGTCCACACATAACCTTTGTAATGTTAATGGATCTCAAAACTAAGATCTTGTTTTTCTTAAACTCCTAAAATAACACTCTTTCCACTCTCCCACTCCATCAGCCTTTGTTGAGATACATCTTGATTGGTTCCTTGATCTCAACATGCCTATTCCAGCCATTAAACACAACCTCTTGGTGCAGAAAGTAAATAGGTTAAAAATGATCTGAACACAATAGATGGGGGAAAAGTGACTTTTAATTTTTCTTGTTATCCTTATTTCTCCCCTTAAATGATTGACAACATCCACACCCCAGTACTCCCCAGTTCCACCTCAAATGGTCATGTAAGTTATTTGTATATGCTACAGGGAGTTACCTCTGTTCTACCTTATCTGCTGCTAGTCTCAGTAGGCATCCTATACAAGCATCCAGTCCAGCATTTGTCGTGGGTTCCGAGGTCTGAGGTTGGGCTAGGAAGGCCGTCTAGTGGCACAGGATGCTGAAGTCTGTCCTCAGTGAGGTTCACTCATGCATTCACAGATGGGAGAGGGATCTGAGGCTCCATATCTCCTACTCCGGCACCCAGTGCAAAGCTTGGCCTTGCTGAGTGCAAGGAAGCAGCTGAGGCTCTCAGATTAACTGGGAGCCACTACAGGGGCACCTTCACACCTCAGGCTATAGCAACAAGGTAAGTATAACCCTTCTCAATAAGCTATCCCAGTATCCCTCAAACATGGAGGAGTAAGTGCCTGGTTGGGATGGTGGGTTGGGAAAAAGAAGCTGGCTAGGTGAGAGAAAGCTGGGTCTAACTTAGTGATGTCCTACTTCTAAGCCTCAGTTTTTCCATCTGTTAATGGGGGCGTTTTCCACCCCTCCAGTACCAGTCTCATGGGTGAAGGTGTGGATGTATAAATGGTAAGAGATAAAAGGTGTAAGGGGAAGGCATTATCTGCATTTTTAGTCAAAACAGGCAGGAGACAAGTTTTGGTGTTTTTTTGTTTTGTTTTGTTTTTTAAAGGATGAATGCTGTGGCTTTGCACAAAAGGTTCCTAGGGGACTGTGAGTTTCCCAGGGAAAGAGGAAGCAACAATAAACTCAAGCCTGGACTGACCCTTAAGGGGCCTCTTCCAGCCTCCCCAGGACAGAAAACCCCTGCAGTCCAATCCCAGTAACATCCTCTAAGCGCCAAGCCTCCCTGTCTCCCTAGTCCCTTGGGGCTCCAGTGATCATCAAAGGGACTCTGGCTCCCACGCCACTTCTTCAAACTGTTTACTAACACACCCACGTGTGAGACAGACACCGCTGGGGGCTACACCGGCAGCATCGGCTAGAGAAAGGGGGAGGTGGCCGGAAGGGCTTAGGAAGACCCAGTGCCTGGCCTCACACAGTGGCAGCGCTCTGGCCACCCAAGGGGTGCCCTCCTCTGGTATGGCTCAGGGCAGTCCTTACCCGAGTCGCTTGGGCTCTCGGACCCGGAGCAGGCCTGGGTCTTGGGCTCACCCAGCGGGCAGGGTGCAGCGGGCGCCGGGTTGCAGGCTTCGAGGCTGGGAGCGCAGTCCGGGGCAGCCGGCGCCTTGGGTGGGTTCCCCCGTGGCGCGCCGGAGGCTAGCCGGTCGCTCACGGCTCTCTCCAGCCGTTCACGGGCTGAGAAGCCGCTCCACATGCAGTCACGGCGGATGATGGAGGCGTAGTTCCTGCCCCAAGCTTTCGCGTGGCCCCGGGATTCCGCCTCGTCCCCGGCGCCCCCTCCGGGCCATGGCTCCGGGGGACCAATTCCAGTGGCAGGGTCCCCGGCGCCGGGACCCGAGCCCCAGGGCGGCGACGTGGGGGGCGACGGCACCAGCTCGAATTTCTTCCAGATGTCCTCGCTGGGCGCCGTGGAGCGATAGAAATCCTCCCCGCAGTCATAGTCGTAGAAATAGTGCTGGTACGAGTCGAAGTCCATGTCCACTCCCTGCGGGAGGGAAGGGGGACGTGCGGGCTGAGGTGCGGGCCCAGAGAGGGGCGTCCCTGGTCCCCCAGCACAGCAGGGTGTCGGGCTTTCGTCCTCCTAACCTCCCGGCTTGCAGCCTGCGCCCTTCTCTCGCGTACCGGGGAGCCCGGCCCTGGGTCAGCTGGCCCAGAGAAGCCGCTCACAGCGCGCGGACTAGGCTGCGGGGAGCGAGTTCAAAGCAAACTTTGCCAGCGTCGCCCGGAGCGCAGCTCCCGGGGCCCGGCCGGGCCTAACGGGGGCGCGCGGTACCCAGAAGGCAGACTGCAGCCCGCCCCTCGGGACCCGCGCGGGTCTCCCGACCGCCCCCAGTCTCACCTCGCTCCGGCCGCCAGCCACCTGGAGTGGACCGGCTAGCCGCCGGCTCCCGGCAGCCCGGCAGCCCGCACACACGCACATGCGCGCCGCCTAGCGCGCGGCCCGCACCCAAGAGCGCGCCCCCCTCCACGCGCGCGCTCCCTCCCTAGCTCGCGCACAGTTGCCCGGACGCTCCCGGGATCGGCGCGGGAGCGCGAGTTGCAAGCGCATTGTTTCCCGGCTGCCTTATATCTCGTCGCGCGCCCGGGGGTCTGGGACCGGGGCGGGCCCTGCGTGACAAGCCCCGCCCCCGCCCCACCCCCTCCCGCGGCCGACAGGTGGGGGCGATGGAGGCTCCGCCTCACCTCGCCTGGCTTCTCTCCTTCGACTTAATTTATTCCTTGTACCCCCCCAAAATGAATTGCACTCTGGGGAGTTGATGTGGCCCGACGCTCGCCCGGTGGGGGCGTGACTCTAGTGGGGCCCCGGCGATCCTCAGCAGGCCTAACTAAAGCTGCATTCCAAGCCCACTCTGGGCTACTTCCCTCACCCACCGCCTACTTCCCGGGCTCGCCACCTGGCTCAGGTGTGTCTAGCTCTCTGCTGGGGGAGATGGGGACCAGCACACCTCCACCGCGCCACCTGGCGGCCCTCAGCCTTGAACTGGGACTGGACAAGGGCATTTGCTTCCTCCCTGGTCTGCAAGTTTCTTTAGCAGGGTCGACTGAACCTGCACAGAGAAGTGAGGTGGAGGCTTCAGACTCTGGAAACTGAAACTTAATCTTCCTAAGCCTCAGTCTGATTTAACAGTCGTCAGGATTTAAGGAAGACATAGTATGGGGGCAGGGGGAAGAGTATCTAGAGATGAGAACTAGGCCCGGAGAAGAGGCAAAAACTTAACCTCTAATGCCATTGAAGAGAATTTTCTCCCAGCATCAGGACAGGACGGACACTCACCTTTCTTACAAAGCATTCTGTAAGAGCTTTGCTAATAAAGGAAAGAGAATGGGGAGATGAAGTCTGGAAACTTTAAACCGTTGTTTTTGCCACTTTCTAGTTGTGGTGTCAGGTCATTTCAATCCTCTGCTTTTCTGTAAAATGGACAATGCTTGCAGTTGCATCTCTGCCCAAGGTGATGAATGCACACACCTTTGCATCACCTACGCAAACTACCTTCCGTGGAAAAGGAAAAGTTAAATTACACAGTGTAATGGAAGTTATCAGCTTCCTCTCCCCCCCCCCATTACTATCTATGATCCACACCTGTGGTCTTGTAAGGTGCCTGATGGCAGAGACTCAGGGTAGAGTGTGGGCGAAGGTGAGTGGGCGCATCTGAGCTGGGAGACTGAGAACACAAGGGCGCCAGCAGAGGACCCGCGCAGAGGATGATGAGGCAGAGTGCGGTGGAGAGTGTCAGAGAACCGCTTCCAGAGGAAAGAGCTGTAGGGACTCACACAGTAGAGGTTGCTGTCTTCCTACTAGCATTTCCCCCCCTAACCTGTGGGGATGATGCCAAGGCTCCAAGGTTCTTTCAAACTGTCTGAACCAAGGATGAACCTACCTGGCCCAGGATGGTTGCAGAACACGCAGTCGTTCTATTTAAGTCAAGGAGAGTAACTTGGGATAGCAGCCAAAGGATTTAGAATACTTGGTATTCAGGTTCGGGTCCTTGTCTGGCCTCATTGCCTCAGGTCTTCCTTCTACCCTGTCGTGTAAAAACACCAAACCATTCACTATTGGCACCCCAAATGAGGGAAGTGAGAATTGCAGTGTGATGGGAGTATAAGACACAAAGTGTAAATTGTGTAGGAGAAAAGGCAAGGAAGGTGATGCTCTCAGTTTGGGGTATGTTGGGTCTGAGGTACATGTACGACATCTTCGAAGGCAGCATCCAACTCTTACAACCTTTGTAACCTCAGTACTTAGACTTTTGGTAGATATCTGTCAGCTTACTAAGTGACTCAGTCAACCAGATTTTATTGTGAGAGCCTGTGTGCTCTGCTTTGTGATGATGGAGGGCACAGATCGGAATGGTTCCAGGTTTGATTGTAGCCCCAAGGCAGAGGGATTAGAACTACCTTTTGGTGATTTATTCTTTAATCCACAGGTGTCTGAGATGGTTGTTGCACCTGTCAGCATTCTTGGTTACAAATGTCAGGGGCTAAGTGTCAGGGCCATCATCAGGACGGCCTGAGTTTGACTGAGCCGCAGGAAGGGAGTCAACCCACATGCGGTGCAATAGACATCTCTTATCTTGCCTGCTGCTCCCCTCAGCAATGGATTTCAGTAGATCCCCCTGTTCTGCTCCCCACTCTGTCTCTGGTGAGTCCTTCCACACTCTACACTTGTGGCCTATACCCTACTTCTTGTATGCATAACTAAATAAAATAATTTTTTTTTCTTTAGTAATACTGATGCAGCTAAAGAAAGGCGGCACAGGTCAGAAGGGGTCTGGACAATCACCAGGAGTATCCTTCCTAGTGCTATCTGGTCTAGGAACAAGGGAGATGGGGAAAGAATCATTCTTTGAAACCACTTAGTTCACTCCCAACCTCATTCATGCATCACCAAGCAACCTGCTGAAAACCACTGTGTTCCCTTTGTAGATCCGCCTACAGGGAAAGAATGCACTCATCAGTAACAAGACAATCCAGTCTGCTTCAAAGCCCTGCTTCCCTTATAAATTAATGAATTGGCATCTGATTTAAAATATCAGTCTCAGGAGCCTGGTTAATGTGTGTCTTTTCCATAGGGATGCTGTTGCATTTAGGGCTATCAACTCTGGTTTCTGAGGTGATAACTGGACTCAGGATGGTGATGAATTCACCAAGGTAATGAATGCTACCCCCGGGACACTCTATTTTTCTGCATTTTAAAAATTTCTTTAATCTGAAGACATTTTAAGTCAAAGCATTATGTGCAAAATGTTTTTAATAAATCAAATAGTGTATGACAAGGCTAAAATAAGGCAGTCTTCTGCCCTCCCTTCAGCATTCTTGATTCCTAGTCCACAAAGGCAATTACTCTTTTACCTTTTTATGCCTAATATTTACTTCCATATTTTGACCACTACAGATCATCTATACTTTCCTGATTTTTAAATTTCTATTGACATTCCACAGTAGCAGCAGATAATGCTTGTATTTCTCTTCCCACCCCCAATACTAAGTCTCCCCTATTTTCCCAATAAAATTATAGTTCAATTTTTAAATAAATAAATATTCAATATTTACAATATTTTTATGACATGAATATGGAATACACTGACTACATTTCCTTTCTTATACACTTTCAGAGGTAAGTCATCTCTTTTTTTGTTCATACTTCTATGTATATATGATTAATTTAACCCTACATATTTCACCCAGACCTGCAAAAATTACTTTATCTGGTCATATCAAGCAATTAATCTGTCAGTTCCATTTTTTTCTCCTTGGAAACATTCCTTTTGGAGCACTTTGTCTTACTGCTCTATGTTAAACTTCTTGCTCATAGGGCTGCTTCATAGTGTCTTTATGCAACTTCCTTTCACGCCATCCTGGAAACTCCCTTTTCTGCTGTCTGATGTTGAGTCTCTGCTTTTTGGAGTGCATTACTTCTTCTTTCTCAGTTTACTTCCTCACATTGGTGGAGCACATCCTCTAGCAGCTGCCTAAGAAAGTATACTTGGGAACTAAAAATTCTGACTTTCCATTTCTGAAATTGTTTTTAGTATACACTCACCTCTAGTCAGTAGTTCGGTTGGGTACAGAATACTAGATTATAGTTCTTTCTCAGAATTTTAAAGGTGTTGCTTTCCCCTTCCCTTCTTTCTTTTTCTTTCCATACTCCCTTTCATCATTCCTTTGTTCATTCATTCCTTCTTTCCTTCCTTCCTTCATCTTTCTCTCCTTTTCTTTCTACACTTTAAAAGAGCAAGCTTATTAGGGAAAGGAAAGAAGAAGATTCTTGCATTGACACAGATTTTTGCATAGACACACGTGGGCAGCTGCAAAGGGAAAAGTTTTGTGAAAATATACACCTGCATAGTTATAGATGAGCAGTGGAGCTGCTGCTTTCTTATTACTTAGCAACCAGCATTGCTGTTGAGAAGATACAATTTGATCTAGCCTTTGTGTGTGACCTGTTTCTCTCCCTGGAAACTTTTAGGATGTGCTCTTTGTCTCTGGTGTTCTGATTTTTTTTTTTCAAGTAATGTACCTTAGTGGGAGTCTGTTATATAATAAAGAATTTGACTGACTCTTATCTCCAATTAATAGGAGGTAGCATCTATATCCTTGGAATTTCATGAGTAATAGGACTGTCTTTGTTATTCATTGGGGGGAAGGGGGAGGGAGGCCCAAATAGTTTATGCTAATGAGGTTACTCATTATGGCCCTAGATACTTTAACATGACTCCATATATAGGTTGGCCAAACCAGAAAGGCCAACCATGTGATTAGAGGTTTGGGACTTTGAGCCATGTGACATAAACCTGACTCTGAAAGAAGAAGAGCTGGAGATTGAGTTTAATCACACAGACAATGATTTAACTAGCCATGCCTACTTAATGAAACCCAAATTAGAACTCTGTACATCGATGCTCAGGTGACTCTGTGTGTTTCAGGGTTGCTCAGGGGAGCTCTCCTGGTTATTACTCTGTGTATGTTATGGCATATCTGTTCTGGGGAGAGGATGCTGGAGTGCTTCCAGTTGGTACCTTCCAAGACTCTACTTTTGGTTT